TAGAACTTGTTTGATCCGATAGGTTAATTTAAAATCTGGTCAATTTAGAATTGGAACTGAGTTGAATTAAAAAAAAAACTTAGTGTGATATGGTTAACCCGATAAATTAACTTGGTAACCTAGTCAAACTTCAGTTATAACTTGTTAATTTTTTTTATTTTATTAAAATAATATCATTTTAATTTATTTTTTTTAAATTAACCTAAACAACTTGATAATATAATAAAAATTCAATAATTTGATAAACATCCGAAACCTGAATCTTCAACTAAGCGTGAAAACCATACTTGAAAAGGAGGGTTTTGATAAAACAAAGGGTTTTGATAAAGCAAATTAGTTTTTTGTTTGTTTTCTAATCTTTATCTAATCAATCCTTATTCTTGCTCTTTATCTAATTAATGGAATGGCTACCTTATGGCAAATGCCAATATGGAGATATTGTATTGATCATTAATTTAATTTTTTTTAATTATAAGATGTATTTTATCCATGTAAGCATTTGTATTGTCATAGTAAAACAAAGTAAACCTAAAACAAAAAAGTTATTTTATTAAAGTGTTTTAGAGGCAGAAATACTTTTAATGAAAATTAAAGGAAATCATTCTTAAAATAAAACTTAGCATAATGATGGTAATAGTGATAGTTCAATCATGACGTTTGTATTTTCTCTAGTTTTTTTTATTAAAAATTATCTTTAATATATGTTTTACTTATGATATAATCTACATAAATAATATATATATATATATATATATATATATATATCAAATGGAAAATATTTAATAATGTTGCATAATTAGCATAAATAGTTAACATTAAAACTTGATATAAATCAATAATTAGATTAATTAAACAAATCTAGAAAGCCTAAATAGATTTAGAAAACACAGGGCTTCATTAACTAAATTAAAAATACAATCACAAAAATGAATAACTAATACAATCATAAAGCTAAATTTAGAGTATTTGTTTTAATTAAATAAATTTAATAATTTTTTTTCCTAACAAGAGATCTTTAAGCCTATAATAATGCCTCAAATGACTCTTTTGTGTTTTTCTAAAATCAAATTTTCATTGCGGGACTAAGAGCCGAGCTGGGTATCCTAATCAACTAGACTATAATGGATTTATGATTCTATCTTCATCAGTTTATAAAAATATTTAAATAGCTTAAGATGTTTTTTTTTAAAGAAAAGTTGAATTAAGTTTGTAAAGGAGTTTCCAAGAGGAGTCTATTTAATAAGGTGGGTGGTGAAGTACATTTTTGTAAAAATATTTTTTAATAAAAAAATATTAATATGATTTTTTTTTGGAATTAATATGAATGTACAATCAACTTGTATATATCTCAATTAATTTTACGGATTCTAAAATTAATAATCATATAAGCTTTCAGTAGTTTTAAAATTTGTAAGACTTGAATTGGTGATTTTTAGAAATCAAACGAAGTCTTGACCAGTGAGTTACACCCCTCAAGGTTATTAATATTATATTTTTTTAATTTTTGATATAGTATATTAAGATTATTAAAAAAAATATTTATAAAATATCAATGTAATAATTTTTTATATGCACCACTACAATCCCTAGCAATGTCACGTACCCTTGAATTTTCCAAGTTCCTTGTCCAAGATAATGTGGTTTCCAGTAACCAACCTAGGAAAGCGACTTTTGTGTGGTTCAAATTGAAAATAAGGTGATGTTTATGTTTGTGGTGATATTGTATTTTTTAAAAAAATTAAATTAAAATTTTTTTAATTTTTTTTTTATTTTTTTATTATTTTAGTATGTTAATAGTAAAAATAAATTTTTAAAAATAAAAAATATTATTTTAGTATATATTTTAAGTAAATTTTTTTATAAAATACATCCAAAGACCATTTAAAACGCTATAATCTATCGGTTAGTGTATCGTTGGATACCATATCAGATCATGTCAGTTGTTGGTCATCATTTTACTTTTGACCCTAATTCAAACATTTACGTTGTAATTGGTTAGTGTACGTGGAATACAAGAATGATCCATGTTTGTAATTCCACTGGAATTTTATTTTTCTAATCTTGTGGGGCTAAAAACTGATCTCCACGACATTAATTTCTCTACACAAAATTTTAAAAAAAATTAAATTTTTTTATTTTAAATTAATATTTATTTTAATATTTTTAAATTATTTTTGTATATTGGTATTAAAAATAATTTTTTAAAAATAAAAATAATTATTTTATATATTTTTAAATAAAAAAATATTTTAAAAAAGAATCCTAATCACAATCCCAAAAAAATTAATTCCCTGCAAGTTTAGCTAGGCAAACAAATTAAAGATGGGCATGCATCTGGAATAATGTTTCCTAAATGTTTTTTTTTCTTAGAATTTTGTTTTTGGATGCTGATGACCCACCTTCAAATGAACATTACCTCTCTCATGTGTCATTATGTTCTAAATAAACTTTCACTTGTATCTATAAAGGAGAAAAGGCAAAAGAAGGCACCTTTGCCAGTAAGTACTCATCAAATGTACGCTACAGTGGTTGGAAATCATTTGAATTTGAATTCGTTTTTCATTGCCAAAAACATCTTTAACAAGAGTGAAGAAAAATGTTAAACAAAGGACATGCCATTTTATTTTTTGAGAACGAATTCAGATTCCTAAAGTCTGTTTTTCTCGACAAAGAAGAGACTCAGGGGAAATGGATGCTAAATGAGCTTTAAGGAACATCCTTAATCACTTCATATGTTAGCCTCTAAAAAGTTAAAACCTCAACATGCATCCAGAACTTCATGGTGACAAAGTTGAAAACAGATGAACATTCTCTGAATGTATTGAATAAGCATGAACAGAAACATACAGAATTCTTACATTACCTGTCTTTGATAGCTACTTCCATTAACAAAAACATACAAAAGCACACGCTCGCACATTCAAAATACCTTTCTGAAAGTGAGAATTCCTTGAAGATATCACTCGTGAATTTTTTATGCAGAAAGAGCTGGGAATGAAATATGTATTCACATTTGTAATGTTTGAGAAATCAATGAAACGATGTTTGACAACCGGAATGAAATGCGTAGCTAAGAATTTGTAATTAAACAAGCATTTGACCTTCATTGCCTAAATACTTTATGCCCATAGAGCAACTGCTATGAAGTGGCATCCAGAGCACAAAACAATTGCTTAATCAAGTAAGAACATTGCGCACAAGTCACTTGCAGAAAAATGCTAAATCAATTGAAATTCACTTAAAAATACATTTCGTTACATGCATATAACGAGCTAATATCATTCCAGGCAATTCAGATACCTGTACTTCAGATTTCAACAGCGCAATTTGATTGAACTTCATAAACGAACACTGAACTCCCACCATATCTATGTAATAATTACAATAGAACATGATAACAGATGCTGTAGTTATTGTCTTTCGAAAATTTTATGGCCTCTCATAATATACTCTTGTAAACATTGCATCTACAAATAAATAAAGAATGCTAATCCTAACCAAGAAAGAGCAGTGTGAGCCAACATGATGTCCATGTGCTAGTTCCGCAAAGCTGGCAACAGGTGCTCCCCGCTGTTGATAGACAGCCAAAAGAATAAATCAACCGCGTCCTTCACTTGCTACCTTGAACACAGAGCATTGAGCAGCACATGAGCCAGCATGAGGTCCACAAAATACTGGTGGCCGATTTCACCGTCCCTCCACTTCATCTTAGCTGGAGCTCTGCCATAATGTACCCCATCACTGCACCGATTGTCAAAATGCCATGGAAAAGTCATATCAAAATTATCTATCACACCAGAAACCAACCCAGCTCGCCTGAATTTATCTAATGCAACCCAATTAAATACCTCCATCTTGTTCGGATTAAATGCTAGTGATCTTGCATACCCACCAGTGGCTATTGTTGTCCGGTAAAAGATCTGCGGAACTGCCAACCCTCTCTGCTTCACAGAATCCATGACTTCTTTCCAGAATGATGCTGCATACCCTGCTCCCTCTGAATATGCCCTAAAACTATGCCAATGCACGCCATCATGTAAACCTGAATTCATGATTATAGTGTCTGGCACTGTCTCCTCTGAGAAGTACTTCTTCAACAGATGCCTAAATCCTTCATCCATCAAGGAATTAAATCCTTCATAATTCATTGTCTCATTCCAATGACCATTGAAAATGCTAGTAATTCTAACACTTTGAGATGCATCTTTCGGGTTTGAAAAGTTCATATCAAACCGTCTAGGAACTGATGGTATTTGAGGCAAATCCAACACAAAATTGAGCATGTTTCTTATAGTATCAACATGATTTGAATCACCCCAAAAGAAAATCCAGCGATTCTTCAAGCAATTCCAAGCAGAATCAGCTGAGAAAAGCCTAAATGAACAGTGGCTTGAATACACCCAGCCATTACTCTCTAACAACCCTAAAGAACCACTGCACCAAGGACTTTGGCATGGAAAATCTGGCGCCAGACAGCGGTACCGGCCATCATTACTGATTTGGCAACCATCATTTTTAGCCTGCCTAGTCCACCTTCCTAGCCAAAGATCTCTATTGAAATCAGATTTTTCACAAGTTTCAATCTTTGGCAACTGAGCACCACCCTTAACAAACTTGATTCGAAACTTACGCAATTGTTTATCAAAAACAAATCTCCATGGTGAGAATTTAAGACCTTGAAAATGCCTATAAAGCAAAATAAGAGTAAGATTATAATCACCAGAAAAATCAGGATGAACTTGAAGCAAAATAGAGTAAGACCCATTTCCAAAATCCCTGACTAAAGGCCTTGATTTCCATGCCTCCCCTGAAAGATCAGTCTCGAAATAATCGCCACCTGAACACACAAGATTCTTGGACTCATCCAGAGCTTGAAAACCAAATTCATGACTATCACCAGCCGTCAACTCAATCAAATCTTTACCATCCAGTCCAGGAATCACAATCTCCACCGTACGTGACCCTCTACAAGGCTCCCCTTCAGGAGCTAGCCACCTTGAAAGAAGGTTTTCCGTCAAGTTTGGCTCCAGTTCAGGCGACACCCACTTCACACTACCATCTGATCCATTCCTTCGCGAGGCTAAATTCTCCAAAACTCCATCTGAATATTTCTGAGCAAAAGAAACATTCTCGTCGTTTTTCAGTACTATGTTAGAACTAGGTGGGACCCTGGTATCATTGTCGTTGCTCTCTTGGGCTAATGGGTTATTGGTGGTGCCATTTTTTATGATTGTAGAGAAATTTTGAAGGGTTTCTTGTCGCTGGGTTAGATTTGTGAGCGGGTGTTGTGTGTGAGGTTTCTTGTCGTTGCTCTCTTGGGCTAATGGGGTATTGGTGGTGCCATTTTTTGTGATTGCAGAGAAATTTCGAAGGGTTTCTTGTCGCTGGGTTATATTTGTGAGAGGGTGTTGTGTGTGAGGTTTCATGGTCGAATATTGCTTCGTGGACCTTCTTGATTCGACGATGCTTCTAATGGTACCCCCATCTATGCTCCCAATAACCACCAAGCCGAGGAAGACAAAGGCTGCTAGTACATGAAGACGCCATTGGAGCACAAAGTTTGAACGGTGAAAAATCCACGATTGGCTATCTGCTTTTTCAGGCATGTCTGCTAAGAAACAACACAACAAAAGTAGAACAAGTGAAGAACTAAAGACTGTTGTCTCGGAGACAATAATTTGACGGCAACAAGATCACGACAATCCAAGAAAGGTATAATATTTTATACTATCCCTCTGGAAAAAAAAAAAAAACCCTTGATTCTCTCGACAGAATCAACAGGAGAGGTGTTTTCTTACCTGTTATAAAACCTTTGGAGAGCTGAAATTTTCTTTGTGAAGCGAAAAGTAAGGTAGTGTAGTTTATTACCAATTGCAAGACAGCAGGGTAATTTTATTACTTGTATATCTCAAAAAGAGCTTTTCTTTTCAAGAAATTCTTCTTGTTGTTAACTCGAGTTTGCAGCTTAACGGCAGGTTTTGGGGTCCAAATAATTACTAAAACAAGGGAAACAGAGACAGAAAACATAGAAGGATTAATCTCTCTTGGTCTTTTATACAGTTTGAGTGTTGAAAAATATTTCTTAATAGGTTTCCTTGGTGACTTGTATTTACAGCATCCACGGCCAAAGACTCTTAACAACCATGCTATTAATCTCGTATATTTTTAGCAAAAATACGATGTTTGATGATGTAAATGTGTTTTAGGAAAATAAAAAAAATAATAATGATTTGATTTATAACGCCGACCGACAGACTGAAATTAATAAATTGATTTTATTTGATTAGAAAATAAAAAAAGATAATAATATTAATTAGATAATTTTTTTAATTAAAATTATGATACCCTAGGAATAAAACAACAGAAGCACAAAATTGGATGGGTAAAAAAAGAATAAGAAAATTGGATGAAGACAACAAACACCTTAAAAACATAATGAGAAAAACCACATAAAAAACCAATAGAACTTTTGTAAATGAGTTTTAAAAAAAAAGGATCCAAAGAATAAAGACCATATAAAAAAAGAAGAAATATATAAAAAAATAAAATTGAAAGATTAAATTAAAAATAAATAACACTTGTACAAAAGAAAAAATAACAAAAAATAAATTAAAAAAAAGACATAAATCTTCATTTAGAGGATTAAATTAAAGAGAAAAATAACTCCAATAAAAAAATAAAAATTAAGGACCAAATTAAAAATAATAACACAAAATAAACTTAGATTGAAGGATGAAATTAAAAAAAAAACTTTTTAAAATGGTCAATTAAAAAAATCAAAAATAAAATAATTAAAAACCAAATCAAAAATATAATATATTGTAAATTTGAATTGAAGAACTAAATTGAATAAAGCTATTATAATAGAGTTAGGGATACAAATAAGAAATCAAAAAAAGAATGGTCAAAGCACAAATACCAAAATTAAAGAATATCAAATTGATTTTTTTAGGAGAGGAGAGAGGAAGAAAATAAAGTTTACCGTCGACAAATTAACTAACTATTAATAATGTACCACTTGAAAAAGGACGTAAAGAAGCATTTAAACACACTATAAATGGATAGGCTCGACCATCAAGAGGCGCTGCATATACTACCTAAAGTGTGGGGGTGCCTTTCACACTAGTACCAACAACTTTTTGAAATTTAATATTATATTACTATGGTAAAACACAATAATGCCTTTGATAAAACAAAAAAAAAAACTTGAAAAGACATAAATATCCCTAAACTGAAAGATTTGATTTTGTTGACTTAAAGGGTATTTTAGTAATCTAAACATAACATAAAAAATTGATAATACCCCTAAACTAAAAACATATAATTTTTCTATCTCCAATGGAATTTTAGTAGTTTCATTGTTCTTATAAAACAAAAGATCCTGATAAATAAAAGACCCTGATACTCTCATAACCAAGACTACTTTTCATTTGAATAAGGGGCAAAATAATAATTTTATTATTGTAATTCACAATGAAATATGTCTTATGCTATAATAAAATCATTATTCTCAATGTCCTTTTCATTTTAGAATATTTATTGTATTCTAGTATATGTTATTTTATATTATTATTATGTCGTTTAATTAATATATTCATTTGATGCATCTTCCGATATTCAACTAAATGTCAAGGCATGTATGTTGTATTTGTCAATATTATTCTCTTATTTTCTTGTTGTTATTGTAATAAAAGTCCTTGCATAATAACAATCTTGTCTCATTCTAACTTTTTCTTTTTATATTTGGTCATTACTTTCTCTTCCTTTAAAGTATATACTTTTTTTTTTTAATCTTCTTACATTCCGTTTTCATTTCATGTTCTTTATAATTCTTTAAGATCGATCAAATATGAAAACTTATTCTACCCTTATTTTTTTTATTTTTTTATTTTGTTGTTGCCTATCTACCTATCAGAGCTAACTTAAAGTTAAAGGAGGTCTCAACAAAGTAAGGTCTTAGATAATCTTCATTTTGTATTTATGGTCTTTTGTTAAGTGGAGCAATCTTTATTTATAAAGCATAATTGATAAATACATCTTATTTAGTTTTAGAATTTTTTATCAAGTTGGGGTCTTGAGCCATTGCTCAAGTGGCCCTTAGCTTAAGCCAATTCTGCTATCTATTGGTCTCTTTATATTGTCATTGTCACCAAACATAACATCATCTTCTTCTAAGTTGGATGAACTTTGAGTAAGAAAAGAATAAGATGTGGGAGTTGCATTTCTAATATTTTTTGACTTCTTCTTTGAGTTTTCAATCATCCATTTAGGTTGGCTTTTCAATTTCTTTCAACAATGTTGAATGGTTGATCTTAAATTTTTTGATATACAATTAGGGGTGAGCTAAAAAATTAAAAAACCAAGAAAATAACAAAAAAAAACTAAACCATGAAAAAAAAACATATTAGAATATTTAGAAAAACTTATGGTTCAGTTCAGTTTTGTAATGCTGAAATCAATAAACCCTAACCAAATCGAACTAGTTCAGATTAAAACAAATACTATAAAGAAATAAATAAGATTTTCTTTTAACCCAATAACCTTAGTAATCCCCCCTCCATTTAGAGACATAGACATTTCATACCTCCTAAATCCTCACAACTTCCCACTATAACACTCACAAGTCCACACCCATGTTCTTCAATCATCATTAGTTTATTTTGTTCTATAATTTTCATGAGTCAGCATTAGATCTAGTAAACCTCCCACTCAAGGTCCTATATGCCACATCTAGCCTTTTAATCTTCATTCTTCAATTTGCATCTCCGGAACTAAAATCCTAGCAACACCAGTTCTTTGAAGTAAGATTTCTCTCTCTGTTATTTTTTTTTTTGACATGTGTTTTTGATTTCTTGATGTTTTTAAATTTTGTTAAAACAACATGTGCTTGTCATAAAAAATCAACACCTAATTTCATTTGATTTTACAAATAGTAAAGAGTTGACTATTATATGGTTTGTGATGAGTCGTCACTCTTGAAATCTAAGTCTTCAGCCTAACCAATCTTCCCTTGTTGATAATTTTAACTATGGATATAAGACTTTTATTGTTGCTATAACAATAGATTTTTTTTTATGCTCAAGTATATGGTACTTAGATGTGACCTTTTTGTACGTGGAAGAATTGATTTTGCTAAGGAGCTAAGGTTCTTTCTTGCCCAACCTTACCTCAATTGGCTTCTTGATTTTATTCTTGGCTTAGTTATTGTTTAGCTTTTTGTTCATTTTGTTTCTTCATACACTTTTATGTTGCCTGGTTGTTCATATTTATGTTGTGGATTTTGTGTTTCTTGTAAGGGTTTGGAGTTGTTTTCATCAAGGATTGGTTGCCTTCAATGTCATAAAAAATAATAATACAAAGGTATTTTTACAACATATCATAGTTTGGTTAACTATTTTATATCTTCCTTTGATAGATCACCATAATTACATGGAAAAAAACACAATATTAAAAACTGACAGAAAATGAAAAGAAACTAGATGTTAAGCTGAACAAACATAGCTACGTGTACCATATTTTAGATTTTAATAAAATTATCTTTTTTTAGTTTGTATTTTCCTATAACTATGCAGTTTAAATAGGATAGCTTTGTAGAATAGTCCATGACTCTATGTTGCTTTTCGATTTCTCTTTTAATTATGGTGTGTTATTTCTAGTCTTGTTGCTCTCTTTTTATTTATTTGTTTGCTTTTGTCTCTTTACATGTTCATCATGCATTATGTTTTTTTATTTATTTATTTAGTTTGCCAGTTAAATCCTTTTCTTCATGCTCTGTGTTTTGTTCTATTGCCATGTTATGCTTTGGCCCTTTTTTTTTTATTGTTTTCAAAAGCTTTTTGCTATTTTTCCAAGTAAGGTTGTCAAGATTCATTGTTGTTTATGTGCTTCAAGTCAAGTTGGTTGTCTATTCCTTCTTTTGGTTTATGCAATCTTAATTTCAGTTTGGTTTTTTAGTCCTTTATTTTCTTTCTTGATTGTTTCTAATTGATCTTTTCTTATGCTTATCTATTTTTTAGGTTCTTTTACCTATAGTTGTTGGTTGTTGCATCATGACATTGCAATTAATTATTCTTTTGAGTTCTTTGGTAAATGCTATGTTTTTCATCATTTTATCCTGTCTATCAACCTTTTTTAAAAGTTGTATTCCATATTTCAGCATTCATAAATATCAACATGTTTTCATTTAGTAATTACATATGAAAAACCTTTACAATTAAAATGCTTCATTCACTAACACTACCCCAATATCAACCAATACCCCAACTTCAAACATTAACTCAACATCAACTACTGCAGGATCTGCCATAAATAATAAAGGTAAATAACCTCAAGTCCTTACATCAAGGAAAAAAAATATCGATTATAGAAAAAAAGTCACAAATTTAGGATCACTTTACAAAACTTGATAATGATCCTAAAACCTTTAGAGCTGAATGTAATTATTATGGAAATGCATGTTATACTATTATTAATGAGACAAGTACTATGTGAAGTCATTTAAAAGTATGCAAAAATTTTCATTTTGTGGTTGATAAGAAGTAAAACAATTTGGTATTAGAAACTAAAAAAGAGAAGGGTGAATCAGGAGATCAAAATATAGGAACTCATAAGGTAATAATTTATAATTATAATAAATATAGACAAGCATTAGTACAAATGGTTATAATTAATGAGTTTCCTTTTAATTTTATAGAGGGTAAGGGATTTAGATTTTTTTCAAGGATCGTGCAGCCTAGATTTGACATTCCTTCTCATTTCACTGTTATGAGAAATCATTTGAAACTTTATATTGAAGAGAAGGGAAGATTAAGGACAACTCTTAGGGGTTCAATGATTATGCTTAACAACAGACGCATGAATATTAATCCAAAACATTAACTATATGTCCTTAACAACTTATTAGATTAATAATTAGTGGATTTTCATAAAAGAATTCTTTATTTTTTTTCAAGTTTTCAATCATATGAGTGGGATAATTGGTTAAGTTATTGAGAATTGTTTGTTAGAATGGGGAATTGATAAACTTT